CAGAGAACCCCAAGAAGGCAACTTAAAGCTCTTGAAAATCTATCTCTATCATCTATCTATCTATCTATCTATCTATCTATCTATCTATCTATCTATCTATCTATCTATCTATCTATCTATCTACAGGTATCTATAGGAAAGTGAGTAAGACTGACATACATGTGGACAAGGACAAAAATTAGAGTTTTCCCCTGGATTCCTGGGCGAGATCTACAATTTATTTGTTTGTTTGGTTAGGAATTTTATCAAGCATTTTTTAGAGCTTGTTCTACAGTTTTCATGCACTTTCTGAGATAAATGGAAATCATGCTAAATTGGCCATTACGGAGAGACTCATGGGAGACACAGATGAAGGGTTTAGGTGGTGTAAGATGGTCTGCAGCATCTTAAAAATAGAACCAGGAAAGATCTTGAATAGCTATTACAATTTAAATTGTATTGAGCTACATTATCCAAGATGACATATATTTGCTTAAATTCTATTTAAGTAAGTTTCGGACACTTAGGTTTCAATATCACAGTTTTGTTCTTAGCTTAAATATATATTTATGTAAATATTTCATTTCTCCTAGGACTGCATTCAGCTCCTGGGATAGCGGTGGAATTTTTTACCAAGGAATTTTGCCTTTAATGAATTGAAATTAATTTTCTTATCATTTAAACCCATTAGCTGAAGTCCAAACTTTCGTGAAATAGAGAACATAAGAATATATCAACACAATGAGGTGCCAAATACAGGTAAGACTATTAGCTCATCTAGTTCAGAGAGTACATTGACATGTCATTTAGACATGTTGGATAATTCTGCATCAAGCAGGATGATGGCTGATGATGATGATTGCATCTCCTTTCCATTCTGATACGGTGAATGAATTGCACTTATTTTCAGCAAATACTGCTTTTGATGCTTTGAAATTCACAAAAAGAGAAGACTTATAATCCCATTTTGTGTGAAATGAGATCATCTGTGGACTGCACACTTTCTGCAAGAGTTAACTGTGCACAGATCTTTTCTTGAACTGGGGCCATGGGCGTGTACATACAATTTCCCAAAGAAGCATATTGTGAAACTGGGAGAATCTGAACTGAATAGTCATGGGTAGGATAGGTGTTTGATATATTTGAAGATCAGATCAACTGAGAACATTGCAACATTTCTCAGTGCTTACTGTGGGGAAACCATTTCATAATTCACTTGATGTTACTGTGTAATAAGGTTTGCTTGGCAAGACCTGATAAGGTAGGACCTGGGAAATTCTTCAGTTGAGACAGCGGGAAAGTAGAATTATCTGTAATCCCATAGATCATATGACATGCTTGATCTATGTATCAAAAAGTTGAGAAAATGGAATCTAGCAAATTGGAAGGAATAATTGAAATAAAGAAAATTCAGGGTATAGAGCGGTTTGGAGAAACTTTTATTTTACTAAATATTGCTGGCCTACAATTTCTGGTAGCCCTCACTGCTGGCCATTCTGCCTGGCTTGCTAAGAGCTTCAGCTTAGCAAAGTTTGGAAAATCACAGGTTCTACATTCCTACTGAAGAGAATTTCATAAAATTCCAGGTTTCCAGATAAAAAACATTTGGACTCTAACTAGAATAAAAGAAAATCACCAAATGGTGCAAACTAATATTACTTACAATTTTCCCATTGTTTCAAGAATGAAATTCTTTCTTGGATGATTAATTAAGAATATGATCTTGGATTTTGATCAGATGAAGACTCTCAAGCTTAAAAAAACAACATTTCAGACTGTACATTAAATTTTGGTGGCTGATAAAAAGGTTATCCCTTTTTTCTGCTGTTAATGAATTTAGTGATGCTAAGTGACCATTGGTGCTCTATTTTCTGTCAAAGATTGTGCTTCCACATATCACACATGCACATATATACATCAACTTCTCATTTAAAACCAAAGCTCCAAGAACAGGGTGGAAAATAGTGAAGATAGAGTTGCTAATTTAAGCAGCAAATATTAGCATTGCAGAAAAATCTGCTCATCTTTTGTAACCCATTTTGTTTCATAAATACCCCGGTAATATTCCATAAGGATAAGCTTCATGGCAATCCTTTTGATTTTTAATAACAAGGTTCTAGGCCTGTTTGTACAGTACATAAAAATCCAGAGTGAATTCAATGAATTGTGAATTAGATAAACTGTTATGCCAGAAGTCAAACAGGCTGAAAAAAACACAAAGCAACTGAACAATTTTCAGATAGTGTTGATCAGGGCAGGCTTGTGAGCAACATACTATAAAAGTAAACATATTCTTGGATCTATTTATTTTCTATTTATTAAGATTATTGTTTATTGTAATTTTAATTAATTTTAGCTTTTATAAACTGCCCAATCGTTTCAACGAGATGGGCGGTGACAAATTTGATTTATAAATAAAAATAAATAAATATTAATCTAATATGCATAACCACTGTCAGGTAGAAGATGGTCACGCATGTCCTTCAAATGGCATGCCAGTAAGCCATTCAACTGGTAATTAAAGTTAAATTAAATTATAGTTATTATGATTAAAATAAATTCTAGACATGGAAAAATAAGTCCTGGTTCACAAAGGAGATACTGATTAACAGAAATAATAGTATTGTCTTCTTCACTGGACTGAAATGGTGTGGAAAAATAATGGAGTGGTATCTTTGATGGCAATTCATGGAACACAATTCTGACAAGCTAACCACACTAGTAGTACACAAACAGCTGTTACTGCTAGTGTCCAGCAGTAGCATCCAGTGAAGTGACATAACTGAGAAGCAGCCATAAATAACATTGTTGAATTGAAAGGCAAGCTCTCTCTCCCTCTTTCTCTCACTTCTGGACTTTAATAGAGCATATGTCATTCATGGGAGCTATAAGAAGTCAGCCCATTGCAACAGTCTAGGAGACAGATAGCTGCATTCACAAAAATCACTGTTGGAATGTCTTCTGAACATAAATATAAACCTAGAGATTCAAGCAGAAAAAAGGAACTACCAATCATTTTCCTTAGACGAATTACAACCAATGGCCTTTTTTTAAAAAAAGCCTTTTTAAACCAGATAATATAAGAGAGCCTTTGTCATGGAGACTGTACTCCCAAGGCCAGTTGGAAGCAAAGCAAGAGCAGGCAGTGAATGCCAGCACTTAATGTTAAAAAGGCCAAATTACTTAGGTCCCCAGCCCAATCAAACTTGAAAATGTGTCTCCAGTAGTAACTTATAGGTTCAAGATCAACACTGTTATACGCTAGAGCCTTTCACTCTGGATTAGTTCCTTGTGGATGCGTTGGGACAATAATACTCAGAATGCAGGTGGCATGAGTATTCAGGCATTGTATTAGGGCTATCAGATGTTGGCTGCAACAATCCAGTCAACCAGGAGATGATAGAAAAGAGATACAGAAAAGTAACTTCACTACTGTCTAGAAGTCATCTAAATTTTGCAGCTCAGACCTAGTTGTCTTAATTATAGTCCCGATCCATGATGGAAAAAGAAACTTACCATGGATATCTATGAGACAAGATCTGGAACATTTGTCAAAATGGATTTTATCCACAGCATAAATGAGAGCACTGAGCAGTCCTGCAACTGTCCTCTGGCAGAAAATTTGCACCATTTAATTGTGGGTGTCAAGCCCTTACCACCCACTTACAACCAAAAGCAGGATTCTCACAGATTCTTCTTTAACTAGATTTATTGAAAGAGAAAAGGGATTCAGCTATAGAAATCTTGGCAACTGGTAACATTTAGCACCTGATTTATCTCTAGATTTCTTTCGATGGAGTTTTCTTGAACTTCTTGCTAACTACCTGTTGAGGCACTGGGGCATTGGCTTTCCTGATAAAGGAAGAATGCATAGACGTTCTGCATTTGTAATATTTATTAAACTACCCTCCTATTTCCTAGACTCTGAGAAGCCCATTACAGTGGAAGATTCCTCTGAAAGTTGCATGCAAGAACTGAGTTTTTACATTAAACATAGAGTAAAAAGTTTATATAGAGAAATGTATATTAAGTTAGACTGCATCAGAGAAAATGCCGATACTGAAACCATCTACGCAAACCTGCCCCTCCCCATTCCTGATTATTTCTAGCAGCTACCTTCCTGGCTCCTAACTTCAGTTGCTTCTTTTTCTCATTTTCAACTTTGAACTCTGTGTTTTCATCCTATACTGATAGGTTGCATACCCATGATCTTTTCAGCAGAAGACATAATTACTCCATTGCAAATGATCTCAAGTTAAGCAATCTTTAAGACTCTAAAAGAATCTGAATTAGACAGACATTCACCTACTTTCATATGCTTCGAAATTTCCCCAGCATTCCCCAGCCCAGCCCATGGGTCTAATCCAGCCTGCTGAACTAGCCAACGCAAGTAGGGTGAGATACCCTTCTCTTCTCCTAAGCCCTGCTTCCCCATAGACCTACCATTTTCTTGCTTTGCTGGTCTTTCTTGTCCTGTCTGGTCTTCCCCACCAATCCCTCAGTCCTGCCTTAAGAAATTGGCCGGTTGTCAGTCTGTGAACTTTACTTTATCTTCTGCACACACATGGGTGCTATACCATGGTCAGAACATTACATACTGGTCCTATTAGGACTCATATCAGCAAAAGGGCATCTCTCTTCTCAACTCCCCAAAATGTTAACACAGATTTATAAAGCTTTGACAATGAGCCCAGTGTTTTAAACAGGATGACACATTAAGTTCATGGAGCACTCCAAGTACATTATGCTCACATTCACTGGCTCGAGACGTTCAGATTTATTATGTTTATGCCACTGAACTTCTTAAGGAGTGCTTGTATAAGCTGTAGCTGCAATACTTATTCTCATCTGAATAGTTGGGAGAAGCAGAAAATAAAGGAAAGGAGGCCATGGGGGAGTGGAAACAAGAAAAACAATCAAAGCATTAATTGCCAAATTGCTGACCTTCTGTTAGCAATTTGCTTTTCAGAAGGCAGTGACTAGCTCATAGTACAGCTAGAACAGCACATAGAGTAGAATAAAAATGATAAGAAACACTGATAATGTGGTGATAAAAGAAGTCAAAAGCACCTTGGTAGGGAGATACCAAGCAGATGGAATTTTAAAAAAGAAAACATTCCATACAACACCAGCAAACGTGCTGGACATTTTGAGGACTTTCAGAGGTCACTTTTCCTTTGCCAGCTTTGACTGAGTAAACCTGAAGTGTAAAAGTAAAAGAAAACACTTCTTGAATAGATGGAGATGGTGTCCTCAGTCATGCAGGTCTTAATCTTCAAAAGAGAGCATGTTGGGGTCTGGCAGGAGACAAATGGGGCTGGAAACTCAGAGGATCAAAACTTCTCCCAGCATTCTGATGTATATCTAACTGTAGAGAAATTTAGACTAGTCAAGCAGATCAGAGAGGGCCCGAGCATGGACTGGGAGAAGATTGAAGGATACAGAGAATAAGAATAGCTCCTTCTCCATCCAACTTTCCACCATGATCTTGATCCTTGAGAAAATTTGGCAGGACTAGTTCCTTGGAACTTGGCCATCCTCATCACTGTCTTGCCAAACTGCAGGCAGGAAAAATGCTGCACTTCAGAGAACCCTGGTATTGGAGTGCTCCAACTAAATGATAGGATGACTCCGCTTGATGGGAATTAGGTGTTGCTAGGAAATGGGTAGTCAATACAGACTTGTTTGGATATTAGATAGGTGCCAGTCCCACATTTATCTGTATATGGCAAGTCAATAAATCATGCTGAATCACTACGCAATAGTTATATGGGTCATTTATGAATATATTTTATGAGATAATTTGGAAATTGTACCACTGTGCCTCTGAGTAAGGATTTGGGAAGGAGGCACAAGATGTTTTCTTGACAACATTATGGAAATGGTTTTTCCATTGCCCTCGTCTGGGATGACTGTCCCAGACTATCCTACAGTTCTTTGGTTGTACCATGATCTCCTATTAAATATTCATCCATTCCCAACCCTACAAAGGTTTTTCAGCATTAGCCAAACTCAGCTGAAAGTGGCCTTAAAAAAAATCTAGCTTATTCCAGTGTGCAGATATTAGAGTTTTGAGTGTCTGGGGGCATGCACATATTTAGCTCTGTGGCTAATACTGTGCTCTGCTGAAATATCTCCAGTGTTATACCAGCAGATTTTTACTCATGCAACAGGACCTCCTTGCATTTCTCCCCTCATATCCATGCACATGTCCCATATCTAGTCTATATGAATCTCATTTCATTGCCATTTGAGGGATGCATGGATGGGAGTGAAGAAGGAACATCATTGGTTATTAGCCAATGTTTTGCACATAGGCATGTACTTGACTTATGCTGCCTTAGCTGCTTCTGAAATGCATAAAACAATAAATAATGTGGGTAGGGGTGTTGCATTATTATTTTTTTAAATGAAGTCATTAAGGCATTGATTATTGGTTTTATGTTAAAACATCTTTATGCATATTAGATACTTCAAAGAATGTTTCATATAGTTGAGCTGTAATCACCTTGCTGTTGGGAGTTATTATTTGGGTGTTAAAACCTTGATTTGTATGGTTTGGACTAGTCCTGCTGTTATGCATTTGAAGCTGAAATTCACAGTATTGTGTACATGATTTTGACAGAACTCTGCTTGTCAAAGATGTTCTTGGTTTCAGTATTTGGAATTTATCTAGATATCAAGAATTGTAGATTGTCTAGCATAATTAAGATATACACCTTATTTGCAGTAGAGGCCTGCTGATACATGTTGTTTATCAACAATTTAAATATTTCTTTTCAACAGAGGGACACAGGAAAGGACTTCTGTGCAAATTGGCTATTTTTTTGCTTTGTCTATATTGAGTTTTTTTTTTTTAACTTTTACTTTGAATTTTCCATTATGTTGTTATTTATACATGCATGCATACATATATACATTTTTTTACGTTTCCTTAATAATGCACAAAAACATTTTATTTGACTTGGTTGATTTATGCTATGGCCCTCAGTCAAAGGAATTACATCTCTGAGAAGGAAACTCATCAGAACATTAATACAAAAAATGACAGCCTTACAAGTCTCTGTGTATTCTGATGAACTAGCTCATATTCATTTGTATGTTACTTTTATCCTTGGAAAATAGAATGGTGCAGAGACCACAACCTTCCCTTTGAGCACCATAACTGCTTTAGTGATGGGTAACTCTGAAGATAAGTCTGAATTGATTCACTCCCTGGTTTCAGAGCATTATTCAGGGGAAAATAATCACTTCTATCAATGATCTGCCATGGGAAAAACTCAAAAACTATAACCTGCTTTTGCTTTTCCTCAGAACTGGATGAAATTTGCAGAACCTATTTCCTATCCTGATTGCAACATTTTACATAAACTTCCAGTTCCTCCACCTACACTTACACCATGTTTTGATGCAGCTACTGTGGCACTACATTTTACAATATCTTGGAGCTGGAACACTATATTGGGGTTAGAACTTCAAGTACAGTTTTAAATCAAATAGGACAGATTAGACTTGTTCATCAGAAGAAAGAAAATCTGTTTCAAATTTTCCCAGTTCACCCAGGCACTAGGTTTCTTCCTTGCCATCAACTCTAGAAAATATTGCATCTTGGAAAAGATAATTCAGTCTTTTAAAGAAACAACTATGTTTTGGCTGATTAGGTGACCCTATAACACCTGTTCATTTTGCTCTGGTAAGCTCTCCATGGATGGTGATTAATATCTAAAACATTTGAGAATGTCTTTTAAATCCTCCAGAGTATATGTTCTTGCCAAGTGGGTTGCTTTATCAAGATTTTTTAGTTCCACATTACAGGCTCAGGCGTGTTCAAGAATCACAGAGATGAGCCCGTGACTTCTATAGTGGTTTCATCACTAGTCATGCTACTATCAGCTTCCTTCCCAAGCTCATATGATTCTTTTTAATTAAAAAAATTCTCCCTCCCCGAATATTCACAAATCAGTTTAGTTATTTGATGGCATACATTGTGCTCTTGGCCAGCATAAACTAAAGACATATTATGCAATTTGGCTAAAAATATATTCAAACAGCATAAGACACAATCTGGCCATTGACCCTGTTAAATTAACAGTATGCTGTAGAGTGAACTGAGAAGTCATTAATTCACAAAAGCATTTCACTAAATGTTATGAGAGGCATACAACTGATGCTATTTGTGTTCCTTAGCATACACACAATGGCCTGCTGGCCAGTGATAATATAAGCTCCAGTCCAATGAAATAGTGGATGCCAGATTGGAGAAGGTTGATCTAGATTTTGGAATTTTAGAGTCTCAAGGGAGGAGACCTTCAGAGGAGTCTTGAACATTAACTTTCTGCTCAAAATCCAAAAGATCGGTGTCTTACTTTGTCTTGAAGACATCCAGCAATGTTTCTCTTGCTATGTGATTTGTTCCACTGGGCACCTGTTCTAACTAAGGAGGAGATTTTCTTAATATTCAACCATACCTACTTTCCTGTAATGTAAGCTCATTGACCCTAATTTGATTGTCAGTGGCAACAGAGGACAAATCAATCCGTCAGCATATAAAAGTCTATTGTCATGAATTCAGTATGAAGAAGGAGCACAATACTGAGGAGAAGAACCATGTTTATTGCAACAATTGTTGGGTGCCTGCTTTACAAGAAAGAGGTACCCTGAACAACGGAAAAGCAAAGATTTTTATAGAAGTTGAGGGCTACAAGGTGGGAAATCCTAGGGATCTGGTTTGCTAACCAGTTTGGGGAAGCTAGGCAGATCCTGGTGTTAGTTCTATTGTTAGGCAAAGTGGGCCTTTCAGGAGGGTGGCAGAGCTGGGGAAGTCCATTGTTAAAGGAGATAGAATGTTGAGGTCATCAACTTATCAGTTGAGGATGGAAGGTTGGGTTTCTCTAGGTTGTAATCTCATTATAAGGGCTACCTTTGGGCTGTACTGTGAGCTGGTGAAGAGGCTTCTATTCTTTGCTTTAGATGAGATGGGGGGGGGTTGTCTGATTTTGACCCTGGTCATACCTAAAAGACTGGGAGGTGCAACCTCCATTTTGTTTGCTAGGTTTATTTTCTCTACTCCACTATCCTACAAGTCTTCTCCAAGTTAAACATGTCCAACTTCTTCTAGCTTAATAATGTATATGTCAAGTTATCACCAGGAACTGTCTTGTACATCCTCACCTCAGTTGTGGCCTTTAAAGATAGGACAAGTATCGAGATGGCACTGAATGATATTAATTGGTGGAAAGGATAGGAATCAAATAATTATAAACCAAATACATTTAGCCAAGCTACAGCAGGAGAAGGCAATCAACCTGTGGAAACCTCCATGGGTGCTTACCAGGCTCCCTGCTCTTCTTATTTTTGATCAATAGATTTAGTTAGAATTAAGATTTTACATTTAGGTTCTTTTAATTTAAAAAAAAAATGAGAAAGCTGGCATGCTGCATAGCAAATTACCAGCTTTTAGCATCATCTTTATTTTCAAGAATGCCTCTGGGTTCCACTTATACCCCATAGGCATTTTTCAAAAATCAAAACGATGGGTGACTGCAATGCAGTGCTTTGCATTGTGCTTCTCTGACTAAGGAAAAGGACAAAAGGAAGCTGCAGTTGTACACAGGGAGGAACCTTACCAGCTTGCCTTTGGGGAAATCCTATTGTGACAACTGCCATGTGTTATACATTTGGCTACACTTGAGAAAGCCTTAGATGATGTAGTTGGTGCAAAATGCTAAAGCCTATCCTGAAAGAA